AGATGCTCCCGGGCAGGGACGAGCATGAGGTTTCGGGAAGCCTCCGGGCAAGGGCACAGGTGCCCGGTGGGTGCAGGGTGCCAGCTCCAGTCCACCCACGCGCCGAGTGCTGGGTGCAGGGGAGCTGGGATATCCTGCAGGGTCGGGATCGCATCGGGATCCCTGCGTGCTCTCCGTGCTGCGTGCCGCGATGTTGCGATAGAGCAGGGGTGTTTTGTACCATCTCAGTCGTGCACATGAACCTACCGTGGTGGGATAGGGATGCCTTGCATGGTCATATATCGCGATAGGGGAGGGATAACCTGCATGGTCCTGATACTGCATGCTGATACATCATGATAGAGGAGGGATGCTCTGCATGGTCTCAATAGTGCATGCTGATATATCACGACAGAGTAGGGATGCCCTGCACGTCCTCAGTACTGCCCGCCACTATATCGCGACAGAACAGGGATGTCCTGTGTGGCACTGTCGGTCTGCATGAGCTCCGTGGGCACGGCTCCGGGATGGTTCATCCCCCAGTGGCTGCTGGCCGGGGGGGCCATTGCCGGGTCCCTGCGGGCTGCTGGACGCAGCCTGCAAGGCTGGTTTTGGGCGATATCTCACAGCGGTGAAGAGGAAACGAGACCCGCGGGCAGCGGCGCTGAGCTGCCTGCGCTGCCAGGGGTGGCCTGCATGCTGGCAGACGGGGGCGATAAGCTGGGAGGGGATGAGCAAGGACAGAGGCTGGCAGGGATAACAGGCACGGAGGGAGGAAGAGCTGCTCCTCCATTCCTCCTTCCCGGTCCTGCATCTCTCTGCATCCCCTTGGGGCCACGGGGGCTCACGGGACGGGGACGCTCTCCCCCGGATCAACTGGATGCCGCGCATCTCTGTGCCTCAGTTTCTCCATCTCTCGGCAGAGAAACCCATGGGTTAGGCAGGATGGACCCGTCCCATGAATCCGCGACCCCTGTAACCCACTAACTCCCCACACACGTCTGCGCTCCCTGGGGTGAGGATGGGGGGCGTGGAGAAGGACCCTGCCGGGGTGGGGGTGTCAGCGTGCATCGAGGTTTAGGGTTCGCTGAAGGGGGAGGAGGAGAAGTGGGGAGAGCCGCTGTCGGGAAGGGCAGGGACGAGCAGAAAATGCTGAGAGTGTAAAATTTGGCGCTGCCTGGACGCCTGCCGAAGCCACGAGCGTTGGCTGGGTGGCTGCGGGGGGAGCCGGGCTGGAGCGCGGCTCCGGGGCCAGCGCAGGTGGTGTAAATCAGCATCGCCTCGGGGAAACAGGGCTCAGGATCTGGCCCCACCGCGTGCTGCCAAGCCCCACAGCTCCCGCCGGGGCTGTCGGCTCTGCCGGCTCCGGCAGCACCTGGGGAGGGCCTGATCCTGCCCCACGCTGACCCTGTGTAGAGGGGAAAGGGGAGGTCGAGGAGAGCTGGGTCCCCACCGGGGTGCCAGGCTGTCCCCAGGGCTCCAGCCCCACGCCGGGGCGAGGGCATCTCTGCCTGCCACGGGGCCAGGACGGGGCAGTAATATCCCACTTTCTTTCTGCCCACAGAAGGGACAAACTCTTTCCCTGAGGCTGCAGGAAAATACCGAGCCAGAGAGCCCGAGGGCCTCCAGGAGATTGTTACAGTGGCAGAAAAGCTGGAGGAGCTGCAGCTGCCCAAAGCGCAAGTGGAGATTGAGTCACGAGGGGCTATATACGCCGTCCCTTTCTTTAAGGACGCTGAGCTGGAAAAGCCGAGCCCGTCCCCCGAAGACGCACCGGGGCCAGGGGCCCGGCACCCCCCGCTAGATACCTCCGTGTCCTCGGGTCACCCGACCTCTGCCTCCCCTTTCCCCACAGCCCCGGCCGTCCCCGAGGCAGGCGTCCCACTTAGCTGTGGTGCAAAACCGGGGAGCCCGTCCCCCGCGGAGGAGGATGGGGCGACAGGGACAGTTGGGCAGTGCACAGCAGCCGGGCGCGAGCCGTCCCGCACGGGTAGGTCGAGCAGCCGCTGCAGCGGTGCCAGGGCTGGGGTGCAGAGAGGAGCCGCAGGGACGGAGGCGCCGGGATTGCAAGGAGAGGTCGGAGGCACCCGTGGGTGCCCGGGTTGCCCCAGCCGTTCCCATCCCTCCTGCGGAGGGAGCACCCATAGCCGGGGCACCCGTGTCTTGGTGTAGGGCTGTGCACAGGTCACTGGCGCGGGGACATCTGTCTGTCCCTCCCTCAGCTGGGGTCCAGCATGCAGGGTCAGTGCCAGACCGCGGTTTAGCAGCGCAAAGAGCCGGAGGAGGCTGCTGGCGGCTGGAGGGAGAGGAGGCCAGGCGCAGCGGTGAGGGGCTGAACGTGGCCCCTACCACAGGGAAGCCTGTGCCGGGGCTGGGCTTGGCAGTGGCTGAGCCAGAGCTCGGTCTGCCGTGCCGGTTCAGAGGGGACAACGTCACGTGGGCTTGGGGCCATTTCTGTCTCCCTGTGCATCTTTGTGCTGGCGTTGCCCCCCCAGCTCTGCCCGCCGTGGGCAGGATCTGCAGCGCTGGCGGGTGATGCCGGTGCCCGTGGCCCCGTGGTCTGGCTGGCTCCCCGGCACCGGCGTCTCACTGCCTTTCTGCCTTGCCCTTTGCAGAGGAGGAACAGGGAGCAGCGCTGGGCAGGGACCCTGGCAGCACATCGGTGGAGAGCCCGGGCGGAGGGCGAGACCCCAGCCAGCCCGTTTTTTTTCACCCACCGGTGCCCCGTCCCCAGTGGGGGCCGCAGCAGGTGACACGGAGCCTCCCGAGGGGTTTCCCCAGCCGCCCAGCCCCGCCGCCCCCACGTGCCACCCCGACCGCCCACAGGATGCCATGGGGCGGCCAGCCCACACTGCCAGCCCTGGGGCACCTGGGCACCGGGTGACATCGCCGACCAGTGGCACTTCTGCCACCTCGACAGATAGCCGAGAGCCTGGTGGGACCCCCCGACGCGGCCATGAGTCCGGAGGGGCGAGCACCCCCATCCCCGCAGCTGAAGACGCCGAGCTCTCGGGAGACGTGGTCGAAAGCCCCGGGGCATCCCCGCTGCCCCCCGCGCCCTCGCAGCCACAGGAGGAGGGAGAGGAGCAGTCGGGGGCCCTGTGGCTCCCCTCGCCCGCAGCCCCGGGGGACAGGAGCACCGTCCCCGCGGCGGAGGTGACGGCGGTCACACCATGGCACGCGGAGGTGCCTGGCAGCAGCAGTGCACCAGCCATGGGAGGCGAGGAGGCTGTGCCACGACCCCCGGGCACTGACCGCGGGATGCCTGCTGCATCTTCGGAAGAGGAAAGAGGAGGAGAGGAAGAGGAAGAGCAACCCGCTCCCTCCGTTGCAACCGTGGAGGTCTGCGGAAGAGGAGGAAGAGGAGGAGGAAGAGGAAGAGCAACCCGCTCCCTCCGTTGCAACCGTGGAGGGTTTCCTTGCAGCCGTTCCCGGAGAACCAGGTGGGACCCGCAGGGATGGCCTCACCTCTCCCCGTACCGGCAGCTCTGGGGTGGCCCTGGCGGGGACCCCACTGGGGGACCCGGCCCCCAGCACGGCTGCCCCCTTGCCCCCCCTCCCCACCGAGCGGGCCAGCGTCGGGGCGGGCACCCGCCTGGCCGGGGCCCTCCTGGCTGCTCTCTGGCACTAGAGAAAGCCAACACCTTTCCTTCACGCTGTGCTTCCCTCTGTCCGTCCATCCGTCTGACTCTCCTCTCTCTCTCTCTCTCTCTCTCCTCCTCAGCTGGGTAAGGGAAGGTTACAGGTCCGGAGAAGCACATATTTGTCAAACAAATTGGTCCGAGCTCTGCATGCACTTAAATCTCTTCTACTTCTGTGAAGTGTTTTAATGACTGTTTCCATGAAAAAAAAAAAAATAATCAAAAGAAGGCCCCAAACCCTACTCTGACTAACAGTGATACTAATAAAGGGAATTAAAAGCTTTCTAGAACAAGCATCTCGGCTAGCTCTTCCCTTCGTCCTCGCGCCTGCTGCCTCACTCACCGCCCGCGCGCCTCTCCCACTGACGAACTAATCCCTGGCCCCCCCCGTACCCGCGAGTCCCCGGGGAGCGGGGTGGATGGGACCCCATGTGAGGTGTGTGTGGGGGTGGAGCACGGCTGCTTTGCACCCTCCGCGCGGCCCACCCCGGGCTCGCCCCCCCCGGGCCCGCCCC